ACTCTGGATGCAAAACTTAAGACAGGTCATAGTTAGTTTAGAAAAATAATTTGTATTTACATATATAATTTATATCAGCTTATCTTCAGCATAACATGATAACATAACAGCATATCCATATACAATATCTGGTTATTCACAACCCAGTACAGTGGTGCCTCACAAGACAAATTAATTCGTTCTGCCATTAATGTCTTGCAAATTGCGTTTTCCCATAGGAATGCATTGAAATCTTATTAATGTGTCCTTATGGGCAAGCAAAATCAGAACAAATTCAAATTTGGTTCACAAAGGGTTTATGAAGTGTTCTTTAAAGCCATACATATTGTGCAGATGATTTCAAAAATTCCAATAAAAGCTTTATAACTTTTTAAACATCATAGAAAAAAATTAAAAATCAGCAAACATGAGGAAGGAACAAAAAACAGAAAACATTCTTCTTGCGAAGCATGGCCATAGGAACATTTGTCTTGCAAGTTTTTTGTCCTGCAAGGCATTTGTCTTGCGAGGCGCCACTGTACAATATAGCAGCATGATTGCTCCTATGCCAGAGCAACCTGACTGCTCCTGAACCAGAGCAGTAAAGTAATGCTCCCACAGAGCTACCTTTATACAGAGAAAAAGCCTCTGTATTAGGCTTACATGTTTTGGTTGTTGTGGGTTTTTCAGGCTCTTTGGCCGTGTTCTGTAGGTTGTTCTTCCTTAAATTTCACCAGTCTCTGTAGCCACCATCCTCAAAAGATAGCACTGAAGATGCCGGCCACAGAGACTGGTGAAACGTTAGGAAGAACAACCTACAGAACATGACCAAAGAGCCCGAAAAACCCACAACAACCATTAGATCCAGGCCGTGAAAGCCTTCGTGCTTGCATGTATGTGTGTGTGTGTGTGTTTGTGTGTGTGTGTGTGTAACCACACATATATGTGGTGTAACCACACAAAGACGTATAATGAATCGAGGCAGTCTAAATTTAAGAGGAGAAGCGATTTCATGAGTATTTTTCCGATCTCTCTTTTAGAAACATATTGGGGAATCCTGGACATAACCGGGTTTTAACCAATTAGAGTAGGGCCAACAAAAAGACCAACAAACTCCACAGAAATTGACTGAGGCAGGGGGTCTTCCAAGCATCCTTATGCAGGAGTAAAATATATGAATCATCTCCAACTCCGATATAAGCCATACGTTTGCAGCTTGAGACCATCTGGCTTCCCCACATTTAGGGAGAACATTCTAGCTCATGACTCTTTTCCACATAGCACCGTGATGTTTAAGGATGGACCATTAGCAAATCTCAAAGAACCGGTCTTTTATTGACCTTTGTGCTCTTACATCAGGGAAATCAAGGTAGGCAGATTTGTATACAACCCCATCAAAACCATCTCTGTGTCGGGGCCTTTTATAAGTGGGTGTGCACAGTGATACTGGTTAGACTGGAAACCTCTTTGGAAGAAGAGGGGCTGCTGTGGATTCCAGAGTTCCAGAACAGAAATAAAAAACTGGTAATGTGGAAGACTGAAGATGATCATCTCGGTATATCTCTGTCTCAAGGGCGACACATACACAATCGTAATGAGTGGCTGAACAGACCAGATGGGCGGGATATAAATCAAATAAATAAATAAATAAATGGCTCTTCAAAGGCGATTAATAATATATTTCCTTGTTTGCCTGGGAGTGCTGAGGAAGGGGTTCTCCCAGGAGGCAGTTTGGTTTATGTTAGTGCCCCTCCTGCTGCCTTTCCATCAGGAGGGGCACTAACAAGAAGACTTGACTCTCCCAAGCACTGGATGGCAGGCCTGTACTTGCTTACAGACAACCCCACAATCTCAAGCAATTGTTGACACACAGCAAGTTACACAACATTGATGTAATGATGAGGACCAACCTGCTTACAAACCCAGGTCCCAGATCTACCCCTACATTTACTCTGGTAACAGGATCACAGGATCCAGCTATGTCACATAGACCTTCAAGAGCACTTTTACTTTTTCGTCTGCCCACGTGATCTGTGTCATCTTTTCCCAAAAAAAGCCCCGTTACACTCTACATATGACAAACCAGACCATCTCTATGCAGAAGAATGAATGGATATTAATCAGACATCAGAAACTGCACTACACAGAAACGTATAAAATAGTTTTTGATCTACCAGGATACCCTTCACAAAATATGAACATTTCTATTCCAGAGAAGAAATATTACAGAAGAACCTAGAAAAAACTAGAGGAATCCAGAATAAAGCAGCTGAGATTAGATATATGTACATGCTGGACATACATCTAATCAGACTAAACCATTACCAAATGTTATTTTATGTTGTTGTTACCTTATAGTTATTTTCTTTTCCAAATTATACAATCATAGAATAATAAATTTGGAAGGTGCCTCTAAGGTCATTGAGTTCAAGCCCCTGCTCAGTGCAAGCACACAAAAAAAACCATATCTCCCAGGGGCTTCTCTATATTTCTCTTGCTGAATGACTCCAGACTCACCATTTCAAGCTAAGGCTCAAAAGTAAAATCTGTCATTCTTATCATAACCACATGTTGTTTCTGCTTTTGCTTCCTTTAACCATTGTTGCTGTTCACAGAACCAAGTTTCAAAAGAACTAAATATCAAACAGGGGTCTTAGTTCATTACTTGGTGTGAAATGCAGCCTAACATCACTGTATGTTTGTAGTAGAGACTTTCATGAATGATTTACCAAATAATCTCTGTATTCTGACTCTTATGTCTGAAGAAGTGAGCGAGTTCCATAAAAGCTTTCATTAAAATAGAACAGTTAGATTTTAATGTGCCACAATGTCATTTCGCTTGTTTCTTTCTTGTTTTGTGTTTTTCATTCCTGCACAGCAGATTCTACTTCTGCTGGTGAACTAAAGTTCTGCTTTCATCCTTGATGGTTTTGATAACGCAAATGTATATGCAAAGTAAAGTAAATCATGACGTTCATCCTTATTCACTCCCACTTACAAGAAGGGAAATACAGGAGTGTGTGGAGTCTGAAGCATATCCTTAACTCATGGAATTCACTGCCTGGACAGACTCATCAAGGTAGACATAGCCAAGGAGATAACTTGGCCCCCAACCCATTTAAGACTTTATAGATTGAAGCCAGCACTTTAGATTCTGGCCGAAACATGGTTACATGATTCCTGCAAGCAGTCTTGGTTTAGCCATCTGGCTGCAACATTTTGGACTCCCTGAAGTTTCCAAACCCTTTTTGAAGGCAGTCCCACATGGAATGTGCTCCAGTGATCCACCCAGGATGTGTCCCCATTCCCTGATCAGACCTCTCCAGCAATGGGTGCAGCAAGCATACTAGTTGCAACTATGCAATTGCACCCTTGGCCACAGCCAAATGCTTGGCTTCCAGGCTCAGAGATGAATCGTGGAGCACGCCCAACTTGTATACTTGTTTATTCAGAGGGAGTGTAATCCCAACCAGCAGAGGCTGTGTGCCTCTTCCTTCCTCCAGCTTTTCACTGACAGCCATATTACTCATCCCATCCAGGGCCATATTGCCTGTGACTTCAGGATTCTTAGGATTACAGCCTTTATGGCTCTGCTGACACCTACGCACTCAGAAAGCAACTACTGGGCAGTTCATTGATTTCTAAACAGTTCCAAAAGGGAATGGGGAACGTGATGTGACTTGAATGATATTTCTGTTGCAAGGTGGAGCAGGAGGCCAGACGGTGCACGTCTCATGCACCCCATCATTTTGCACAGAACCTTCACTCTCGGGGAGAGAAAGTTCTGGACTTGGAACTCTTGGTCATCCACAAATGCTACTTTTGATCAATATTTGCTCTTTGTGGATCAATTTGCTCAGCTTAATGTTTGTTGAAGAGCATACATTTCTCAAGGGTGCCCCACTGTATAAAGGAAAGCCCAGTGTGAAGAATTTGCACAGCTCGTACCAAAATTCACTTTTCCATGTAAGTATCAAATTGACTTTTTCGAATCTAATCTAACGTATAAAGGAAAGCCCAGTGCGAAGACTTTGCACAGCTCGTACCAAAATTCCCTTTTCCATGTAAGTATCAATTTGACTTTTTCAAACCTAATCTAATGTAATTTAATCTAATCTAAGGAAAATGAATTGCTTACTAGAGTGATCTGCAATTGCATTAATTAGTGCTCCTGATTCACCAAAACGTTGGCAATTCCACTGATTGCTGTCACTGTCCTTCCTGCCCCTCCTCCTTATTGTGCCAAAAAAGCTTTCCAAAAATGGATGATTTAAAATAGATCATAAAGCAGGTGGGGGCAATGCATATAGCCCTCCTGGTAGTTTTTGAATAGTAGTGGCTATTCTTGGGTTATTTTTGAAGGAATTGATAGGCGTTTCTCTCTAAGAAGATATGAGTTTGTGTCACATCTTCCTTGAGGTTCACATTCTATGGAATTTACGAAGCACAGAGTCCCATCCCATGTCTTCCCTTCCCTCTTCCCCCAAGACCACCTCCTCTACCTTCTGGTTTCTTCCTCTTCCAGCAGTGTCATTTGGCCCTTTGGGTTGTGTCAGCCTTATATCTCTGCTCTATAGTCCTTCGGTACACTGTTTCCACTTTCTCTCTCTTCCTCTTCTATTGGACATTCAGCATTCCTAATCTTGGCATGAATTTCCCTTGGATCTTCTGAAAGAGATCTCGTTTTCTCCTTTAGTTATTCTCCTCTATTTCTTTGCACTGATTCTTGTAATGGTTCTCTTTGTCACTCTATGTGAGAGTCACTGAAAAACTGCATTCAGGGTTTGGATCCTATTCTGTCACTTTTTAGTCTTGCTTCTTGTCTGTCTTTTGAAATTCTAAGTGTTTCTCCTTTCATTCGTTTAGGTCCTTCTTTTTGTTTTACTACGTGAATTGTCTTTTTACATTTCTCCCTAATAATATCCCTGGCGTCAATCAACAGTTCACCGGTGAAGTTTAGGAATGCAAATTACATGCAAATTGAGTTCAGAGTTGCCAATATCTCCTTTAAATGTACTTTAAATTCATCCGGAATATTCTTTAAATTATATTTAGGCACTATTAGTGTTGAGCTCTACTCTAATATTGAATACGAAAGAGTTCATGATCAGTCCAACAATCTGCTCCTGATCTTGTTTTGGCAGAGAGAATACAGCTTCTCCATCTCCTGCTTCCAATTATGTACTCTATTTGAGTTCTCTATTGACATCTGATGGTTTCCACTTGCACAGCCATGTACTTACAATAAATATAAGGTTTACAGATTCACAGAAATATAAGAATCATTGATTCATTTCTGTCCCCAAGGCCAAATTTTATTTATTTTATTCTTTAAATTTTTACCCCACCTATCTACTCGCCATACCACAATTGTCTGCAGCTTACACAAACCAAGATTCAATAATAAGCAAGAATAAAAAAATCAAATAACATTTGGTGCTACTTTGCTCTCCCTATTTTGCATTTCAGTTGTGTCCGATAATAAGTCTTGTTTTGATGTGTGGTCATTTTCCTTTTAGATGTCTGCATAAAACTTTTATTTTGTCTTCTTCTTAATTGGTAGTTGCATGGTAGAGGTTAAGCATAGCACAAGTAAATGTGGGGAATTGCATTAGTCTATTTAAACAATACAGATGCAATAAAATGTGAAAAATTGAACAACCCATTGGAAGCTGACCATCAGTGAACAGGATTATAAGATCTTTCTCCTCCTCACACCCCCACCCCCATCCTCACTGGGTAATTGTAATTATCTGAAAAGGTCATTTGTATTGGGATAAGTCCCCAATGGACGCTATAGTTTTTCACTAAACAGGCACCCAAAATCATCTCCCCAAATCAAGCCAAAAGAAAGAAATACCTCAAAACCTACAAAAAGAATGGCAGCAAAAGACATACAAATCGCTTCCCCTGTTGATGTGAGGCCACTTGCTGTACAAGGAGAACTGTGATCACGTTGCTTTTGCAACCAGTTAATAATGTGATTCTTTCTTTCCAGATTAGTTCCCATTCAACACCATGTCGAATTTCTACCTGTGTTTGCTTCTTCTGGGGATCTGTGGTTTTGCATACAATCACCATGTCCCTGGCCATCATGGAAAAGATGCCGATCACCACCATCATCCAACTGAAGCTCCTGAATATTTGTCTTATCAAAAGATCTCCAGAAGCAATGCCAACTTTGCTTTTAAATTCTTCTGCCAAATTGTTTCGGAGGCTGGTGACGAGAATGTGTTTTTCTCTCCTTTGAGCATTTCCACCGCCTTTGCCTTCCTGTCCCTGGGAGCTAAATCCACCACCCTGAGCCAGATTTTGTCAGGACTTGGCTTCAACGAGACGGAGATAAGCGAGCAGGAAATCCATGATGGGTTTCGTCACCTTCTCCAAATGCTAAACCTCCCCAGGGCTGAACTTGAGCTGAACATTGGAAATGCCCTTTTCACTCATGACCAAGTGGAACTTGTGGAGAAGTTTGTGAAGGATGCCAAACATTGTTATCAGGCAGAGGTTTTTCCTGCCAACTTCAAGAATTCTTCTGAAGTTGAGAAGCAGATCAATAGTTACATAGAAAATAAAACCCATATAAAAGATGCTATCAAGGGTCTCCGCCCATATTCTGTGATGGTTCTTGTAAACCATGTCTTCTTGAAAGGTATGTCTGGTGGTCTTTATTTTTCTAAAGACATTTCCATACTTTTTCTATTGGATTCCTTTGTAATTTTCTTTTTTTTTCCTGCTGTTATGAATGACTTCAATGTTTAAGTGGTGCCAGAAAACACTATCCTGCCTAGTAGATTTCTTGACACCATTTTCCTGAGCAATAATCCAACCCGTTCTAGGGATGAGAAACACAAACGTCTGATTCCTAGTTGTAGAGACATTTTCTAAGTTGAGAAGGGAAATGACATTCTACAGTCTTGTCAAAAGAATAACATTTTTGTCGTACCTTTACGACAAAAATTCTCATCTTTAATGTAAATGAGTTGTGTTGAATTAGAAGTAAGGCTGTGATTATGGGGGTGGGGGCACAATTTGCTCTGCTGTGATTTACACCCATGGAAACTGGCTTTCTCTGGATGAAATCTCCGTAGGCTTCCAGACAGTTTTCAGGATTCAGCAAGGCAGGGGCAGGTTGCATTGAGCTACAACACTAAAGGCTGCCTTAACATGCTAACAAGAGCAAATTGGCCATTGCCACCACCACCATCACCAATCTCACTTTCTCTTGTCCTGTAGCCCTCATGATAGTGTGGTTCAGTCCTGAGTGAAATCCGTTTATTCCCATATTTTTTAAGGAAACAGTTTGGACACAGTGGGCATCTGGTTGAGGGAAAATGACTCTCCTGTGAGCACTGAATCAGGCAATCACAGTGTCAGCAAGCAGACAAAAGGGATGATAAACAGATGAGACCAATCCTCACCAAATTTAGTCTCATAGGTAATTAAGCAATAGTCCAAATAGGACTTGGAATTTGCTTTACATCCCACACAAACCTTCATGCTTGTGTCTTTTGCTTCCTAAGCCTATTGGCAAAATCCTTTCAATTCTCAGGCAACCCGTGAAGCTCATTTCTTCGTGGATAAGAAGACAACGGTAAAGGTTCCTATGATGCACAAAGATGCATATTTTAAGACTTACCGTGATGCAGATCTGTCCTGCGAGGTGGTGGAGCTTCCTTACAAGGGCGGTGCCTCGGCCCTCTTCATCCTTCCTGGTCAAGGGAAATTGAAACATGTGGAACAGGCTCTGGGAAAAGACCTTCTGTTCAAATGGAAGAACTCATTGCATGGAGGGTGAGCAAGTCTTCAGTAATAGATCAAAGGCTAGACCTCAACTAATGAGACAAGTCCTGAACCAAACGATCCAAGGACCACCATGTGTGACAGTGCTTTCTAACTACTTACACAGAAAGGTTTGGTGTCTGCATTGGCTTTTGCATAGCCTGTATATATTATATTAGAATGTCTCCTTACCACTCTCTGGTCTTTCCTTCAACAGGAGAGTAGAACTATTCCTTCCAAGGTTCTCAATATCTGGTAGCTATGATGTTAAGAATGCATTACAAAACATGGGGATCACTGATGTATTCGAAGACTGGGCAAATTTATCTGGAGTGACTCGGAAACCCTACCTGAAGGTTTCCAAGGTATGCTCCCCTGCATTCATCATGTAACAAACAAAGTAATATAATGATGATAATAGGAGCAGAGTACTTGCATCTCTTGCTGAGAACTCCTTTACATGAGAAGATATTCTTCTCTTGGGGGGGGGGGGCAAAATCTACCTCCTTTAGCCTTTCTCTAGCGGACCAGTGTCTCCTAAGTAACATGAGGTCACTGACTTTAAAGGAGGTTCTGTACTAGACAGACCTTTGCCCTGATCTAGGCAGACTCTTGTGTTCTTATATTGGGAGAGTAATATCAATGGATCATGGGACAAATGACAAAGAAAGAGTGCCTCATAAAACATTACAGACCTTCATTTTGAAGTATTGCAAATAAGAATATAGAATAATATCCTAGACCAATTACGTATTAATCCTTGGTTTCTCTCCTTGTAGGCTATTCACAAAGCTTACCTGAATGTTCATGAAAATGGTACGGAAGCTGGAGCAGCCACCCTACAGGAATGGGGGCCCCAATCTCAACCCCCTATAGTCATATTCAACAGGCCCTTCATAATCTTAATCACTCTGAAGAATTATGTATTATTTCTAGGAGTAGTTCAAGATCCTACCAAAAATTAATACCTCAAGGCATGTTTTTGTTGCATCACTGACCACGTAGCACTGCACTAATGTAACTGTGTCTGAAAACGTGACCAAGGTGCCTTATAGTTTGCACAAACTTTCCATGTTAATGGTCTGAGAGAAATAAACCACTGCCATCATCACAAACATAAGAATTTGTTATTCTATTCTCATGCATAGATGTTCTAACCTAAAGACTGGTGATAATATAACAAGTTTCTTATTTTTAAAAATCTCTGAAACATTAACAAAAAAATCTGTTTGGTTTATATGAATGATAGAGGAAAAGCCAGTGAATGCATTGAACATAATAGACAGGAAGCAATGTAGGATCCTAATTTGCACCTGAAAGAACACATTGTCACTTGTCCTCAAAAGCAGCTGTACATCTCATTCTTGGCTGGAGACAACAATTCTTGTAGAGCTTTCGATATTCTCTTTAAAAAAAACACCTCTTAATGAATCAGGGCAATCTAAATGAAAGAAGACAAGCAATTTCATAAGTATTTTTACCTTCTCTGTTTCAGAAACATGTATTAGGGGAATGTAGCCATTGTTAAAGTGTTAAAGGTTCCCCTTGACAATTTTTGTCCAGTCGTGTCCGACTCTAGGGGGCGGCGCTCATCCCGCTCTTCAAGCCATAGAGCCAGCGTTTGTCCGAGGACAATCTTTTCGTGGTCACATGGTCAGTGTGATTTAGACACGGAACGCTGTTTACCTTCCCCCCAAGGTGGTCCCTATTTATCTACTCACATTTGCATGCTTTCGAACCACTAGGTTGGCGGGAGCTGGGACAAGCAATGGGTGCTCATTCCGTTGCGTGGATTCGATCTTACGACTGCCGGATCTCCTGACCCTGCAGCACAGGCTTCTGCGGTTTAGCCCACAGCGCCACCATAACTGCGTTTTAACTGATTACAGTAGGTCCAGCAAAAAGACAAACGGATTCCACATAAATTCACTGAGGCAGGAGGTCTTCCACACATTCTTATGCAGGCGTATAACGTATGAATCATCTCTACCTCAGATATCAGCCATTCGATTAAAGCTTGAGACCACCCCATATTTAGGGAGCCCTGTTATGTTTAAGGATGGACCATCAGCAAACCTCAAAGAATGGGCCTTTTCCTGATCTTTGTTTTCTTACAAACCAAAGACACCTCTGGAGAACCAAGATCTGTACAGAACCCCATCAAAACCATTATCTCTTTCAGAGGCTTTTATAGGTTGGTGCACACAGAGATATGGGTTAGAGTGGAAACCTGTTTGGAAGAAGATGGGCTGCTGTGAATTCCCGAGTCCCAGAACAGGAATAAAAAACTGTCATTAGTCATTCTGTTGTCCTTTGATGTTTCAATGCCCACTAGCAGAGTTGGGCCATCATAAATTGTTAACCAAGTACATGAGGCCACAAGGAGACGGAGGAGGAGACTCAGCTGCTTCATAAGGCAAATACCAGACATGGCAAAGGTGAGACATATCTCCATATCCCAGGCCTCTCCAGATCAATTTGGACAAGAATGCTCAAAGCAAAGAGTGAGTAGATGGAGGGTAAGTTGCAAAGGAGTGTTAACACCTTCCTTAAAACAGCAGGCCTTTTATAATGGAATTTCCAGGGATTTTAGAAAGGCAATTTATATAGTGAGGATTTTGCAAATCACACTCAAAATCACCAAAAACCACACTCTACTGAGTCAGCCTTTGTAGCCAGGAAATACGTTTTATGGCAGGGATCCTCAAACGTTTCAAACAGGGGGCCAGTTCATTGTCTCTCAGACTGTTGGGGAGCTGGACTATAGTTTGAAAAAAATATGAATGAATGGATTAAGTTTTAAAAAAAGAACCTGGGTCCTTTTTTTAGTTCATTGTCCCTCAGACTGTTGGGGGAGCAGACTATAGTTTGAAAAAAATATGAACAAATGGATCAAGTTTTTTTAAAAAACGGCGTGGTTCCCTTTTTTTAACTTGATAGGGGTGAATTAATTATTTGAATGAGTTTTTAAGTGAAGAAAATATACCAGAAGATACTTTTTATTTAGAATTTGTAAGAGGGAATTGGAATGTATTTTTAAGTTTTTATTAATAAAAAAATCTATTTTAGCTAATTATTTGTCTATATTTGAATATTTTCTTCTGGGTCCATTTTTTTACTTGATCCAAACAAATACTTATGCACACTGCACACATCTTATTTATAGTACAAAAACACAGGGAAAAATACATATTTAAAATGAAGAACAATTTTAATCAACATAAGCTTATTAGTATTTCAATGGGAAATATGGGCCTCCTTTTGGCTAATTAGATGGTCAGTGTCTGGTTCCATATTTGTCACTGCTAGTCGTAATAAGTGATGCAAGTGTGCATCAGTTAGGCTGGATTTGGTTGGAGATTTTAGATGTTTCATTCGAGAAAAAGTCTGTTCATAGACATAGGTGCTGCCAAAGACGGTTTCCACTTTGGGTGCATGGTTCCTGAGATTAAAATATGTCTCAGAGGGGAGAGATGCATAGAAATTAGCAAGGCTGATTGACTTGAATGCATCTTTCAGAGAGATACAGTTTTGTAGTTCAGCCAGTTCCATTTGGTGAATCGGATCAACAATTTCAATGTCAACAGAAAATGGGTTCCAGAAAAGCTGTATGTCCTGTTCATGGAGATGAAGCTCTTTAAATCTACTTTGAAACTGCTTTTGCAACATTCCCAATGAATCCACACATGTTTTGTTCGGGAATGCATCTGCTGTTTTTTTCTGCCAACAATTTTTGAGTTGTGGGGAGATGGCAGAAGTTTTCTTCACTTGTTTAATGAGGATGTCTAATTTTACTTCAGATGCTTTCACATGTGAATAATTGAGAGGAGGTAACTAGTGGGGTACCTCAAGGCTCTGTCCTGGGCCCAGTGCTCTTCAATATTTTTATTAATGACTTGGATGAGGGAGTGCAGGGAATGCTTATCACATTTGAGGATGATATCAAATTGGGTAGAATAGCTAATACCCTTGAACAGCGGTCCCCAACCGTTTTGGGACCACAGACTGATTGAGGGGTGCAGGCTCCGTGCGCAGGTGGTGTAGGTGTAACGGGCAGACATAACATCACCTGTCCGTCACAGCTGGGCAGTGAGTCATCAGCCTATGGTGTGACGGAGGGTGGAACTTAAGGGGAGGAGCTAGTATAAAAAGGGGGTGAAGCGTGTGTGAGGGAGATTGGAGATGAGAGTTTGAGCTGAGAGTTTAAAGTGATTAGTAGTTAGAGTGAGTGAGTGAGCCTGTCAGTGGAGAAATACTGTAATCTGTGTGAGCCAGTGTTTATTAACAGTGATTGACTAATTGATTCTTTACCAGTGATTTACTATTTTTATTTTCTGTAATCAATAAACCAGTTTTTGTTTTCAAAGATATACTTGCCCTTTTATGATTTTTAAGGATAAGTTGGTGGCAGCAGAGGTTTTTAAAGTAAAGTAGCGACCATTCTTTGTGGTTTGAGGGTGGCTGTTACAGTAGGCTTTTTCCTTTTAATACTTTTAATATTTTAAGACCGTGGATAAGTGAATCATTGGATAGTGATCCAACAGATATTGGGGTCTTGCAGCTATGACTAATAGTTGGGTTTTTTTTAAAGCTTTCATCTATGGGTCTGTCGAGACTGGTTGTTTTGGGTGTGGGGTGGATCGGGTTACAAAGGTTTGTTGAGGTCAGGGCAAGCCAATGTGCTGTATAACACGCTTCTCCTGGCCAAACAGCAAAGGAGCCCTAGTAGCCCAATCAGCTGTCTTTCCTCTTCTGTGGAGGGTCAGGAGAAGTGAAATGATAATGATAATTTTGTTGTTGTTGATGATGATTTGCTCCTCGCTCCCTCTGTCACTGCTGTTCTCCTTTCGACCCTCCCTGCTTCCCTTCAATCTTACCCGCCCCCACTTTCTCTCTCAAATTCTCCATCAGAATCTGTAGCTGCTGGAGGCTGCTATGTCATGGCTAAACAAGCTCAACAATGTATTCTCAAAGGCTTTCACGGGCGGGATCCGATGGTTGTTGTGGGTTTTCTGGGCTGTTTGGCCATTTTCTTAAACTTTTTCTTCCTAACGTTCCGCCAGTCTCTGTGGCCGTCATCTTCAAAGGACAGCACTCTGTCTGTGCTCTATTGCAGTCTCCAACAAACTGCAACAGAACACAGAGTTCTGACTCCTGTCCTCTAAAGATGCTGGCCACAGAGACTGGCGAAACATTAGGAAGAAAACCCTTAAGAACACGGCAAACAGCCTGGAAAACCCACAACAACCATAAGCTCAACAATGCTTAAATTCTGAGAAGTACATAACAAAACCACAGAGAAAGATATGATAAAGCTAGAGCTATCCAGAATCAAAAGAGCTAAATGACCTTGCTCTGGAATGAACTGATGACTCAGATTCCTGGGAAATAATATAGAGGAAAATATATTCAGGTTTTTGGGCTTCAGTGCCTCTATGAGGTGAGCAGTCAGTATTCCCTTCAATATTTATGATTCTTTCTCTAATTTGCAATCAGGTGCTTGGCATTTCATTCCTAATAATCATTGGTTATCAGACAAAAACAATTTTAAAGGAGACAAAAGATAAAAATGCTGTGGCACCTTAAAGAGTAACTTATATTTTAAGATATGCTTTCATGGAATTTCATCCAGTTCTTCAAACATATGTGGTAGTTTAAATGTTTCGGCTCAAAAGCTTCTTCCTCATCTTACCCTATTCATGGATTGAAATTTATATCCTTCCTTTCTCCCATTAATGGAATTCACTTCTCAGTTACAATTTGCAGGTCAACAGCATCCCATTCTCTTTACCAAGGTTTCTGGGACCATGGACATATCCTTGCCATGTCACATGGATAATACTTTTGATGCCACAAAGATCAGTCCCTTCTGATGTCATGGAAGTGGAACCAATTTGGGAGCCAGCATGCCACATAAACAGAGTCAAATTTCAGCTGAGCCACTGACCCCTGATGCCAGCTGGAAAACGCCCCTCATGTAAAGACAAGCCCCCCCCTCTCTCTCTCACACACACACACACATACACAAAGCAAACTGTTTACTACTTCAGTATTGTTCACATTGAGAATTTGTCGGATGTGTGTGAAAATAAATCACTTTTAAGTAGCTAGCAGCATCCC